TAGTCTTATAGCATAGAACTGCTAGAATTTATTATTCAATAATAAAACTTATTGAAAATTATAATGTTCTTATATATGCATCACTCTTTCCAGGTCCACACATGTTTATAAGTTCAAATGCCCTATTTCAGAATCAAAGTTATTCATGAAATAAAACCTTATAAAATCTGATAATTCATTTGCACGAGCAAATTTGTCAATCTAAATCTCTTACATTAAATTATTGTCTTTTAAATTATATCTCATTATTTATTAAAATTTAATTTATTAATGTGTTTGTACTATTATTTTAAAGTCCTTTGGAAATATTTTTTTGTTCTGAAAATGAAGACTATTTCCATAAAGAAAAAATAAACAGACATACAGAATTGCTAATAACCACTATTATATGATTTATTATTCATTTACTAGATGATTTAATCGCTTTTAACTTATTTCATGTCTAAATTTTCTACACCTCTGTCTAATTTGTATTATCTTTTATGGGACGAAAATTTTCAAAGAGGAATGAATTAAGGTCTTGATTGCGCAAAATACATCTTTGAAGCTAAATGCATTCTAACAAGTACAAAAAAAGTAAACAAGATTTTGTCCTCCCCCCAAATCAGTCATTTAAACTATTCCCACCGTTTAGGAAAACGATAAACTTTGCGAACATAAAAATCTACTTTTTTTTTATATATACTTTAATAAAGGGAAATGTGTTCCTTCATTCTATAAGAAAAGGAACCAGTTTTCCTTTCTAAACTTTAGAAAGTCGCCAACGCTTAGAAAATGATAAACTACGCCAAAGTTCGCGTATGTAGAACAAAGAAAGATTCTTTGTGTAGAACAAGGAGGTTAGAATAGAAGGAGGGAAGGTTCAACTCAAACGGTGAAGTTTGGCGGCCATCTTCCTGTAAATCACCGTGACTTGTGCAAGGAAGTCTGTCATTGCAACATTTTTTTCTTTTCTTTTTGAAGCATGTCAGCTTGTATTGCATATGGATGCACAAATAGATTCTCGAAAAAAAATTCCGGGTATTATTTTTCACACGTAAGTATTAATTTTCTTTTTTTAATATGACAACTATGTCAAAAAATATCACAATGTCATGTGGTTTTCTTTCCAGATGTGAAAAAAAAGGACTTAAATAATAAAATAGGTTATTTAATATAACTATAATCAAAATATATTAAATACATTTTAATAATGTTTCTGTTTATAGCTGGTATCTTCGTTCCTTAAGATACAATGCTATATGGTAGGATTTAAATTGTATAATTTGAACGTTTTAGGTTAATTCGTTTTATAACTTTCATGAAAAGTAAGAAATCAATTGTTACTATTTTTATTAATTGTAAAGTTGTTAAATAAAGCAATGCTTTTCTTTATATATTAATTATTATTCATTTTTTTTAAGTTAAGATAAACTGTTCTGTTGTTAAAAATTTTTTGCATAAACTTACAAATTTCTGGGCAGTATAGTGATAAAATTAATTAAAATATTTACACAATTGAACATGTGGAAAGATGTATCCAAAAACTTATATAGGTGTATTTCTGTAATTCAACTTAATTAAAGGCAGTTTCTTTGAGATTAATAAATATGAAATGCGCCTAAACTGAAATCAATGAATTCACACAAATCTGTTTTATTTTATTAAGATTTATTTTCTAACCTAAGCAAATCCGTTGAAAGGTTATGCAGAAAACATCATTTTTTAAAGGCTTTAATGTTATGCGCATGCATTTAGATTTCGAACTATTTCTTAATAATTTGCTGTACTTAGTAAATTATGGATATCATCTTTATTACTTTAAAACAAAAATTCAACAATAGCGAGGGATTTCATTATAAATTTAACATATTTTTACTGGAAAATAAATGCACGGAACAGCTTAGAAACACGTACATGTCACTGCCGTAATGCAATGTTTTGAAGTCACAAACATGGACGCCGCTTGTTCGGCGGAGTTTCATTCCCCGATAGTGGAGGAAACTGCGAACCCTCCCTCCTTCTATTCTAACCTCCTTGGTGTAGAATTCGTTCTTTTCGCTTGGTTCAAATGACGGATCTGATAACTCAATGCGCATGCGTAGCTAATGTTGGTGGGAATAGCTTAAGCGGCTAATCGCACCAACGTTGTGAATAGCATCGGCCTGTTCTTCACGTGATACAGAGTTAAAGGAGGCGCTGCTTTCTGAAACTCAAATTCACTATATGTTCGTAGTAAGGCCGGCATTCCGGTTGCATATTTGAATATAACTGCATAGCAGGCTGCGGTAACAATTTTCATATTTCGATGAATAAAAAAAAAAAAAAAAAAAAAAAAAAAAGAAAACCAGACAAAAAAATCATGAAACTTACTGACTGAATTCTTGGGACAGAAAGACTTTGTAGTCTGAAGCAAAACATTTCTTGTTTTTATGTCTGTCTGTCCGTCTTAACTAAAAAGTTCTTTCATTTGCGTATCGTGTAAGTGATTGTTACTCGAGGTTTGATATTATTAAGGTGAATATGTTATTGATAATCGTATATTTTAGTAAAATTCAGTCTCTTCCTTATTGCATTTTAAATATGCCTCAATAATTTTTTTAAAGTTTTGCTTTCTTTTTTGATAATTTAATTTATTATTAATGAAACTGAAGCTAGTATTAGACAAAAGTATATCCAGTATAAATATCACCCTAAATAATATCACTTTAAATTTTCGTGTAATAAGCGGAAAATATGTATTTTAAGCACACCATAAGAGTTTAGTCAGTGATGCGTGTTTTGCGTGTAGAATATTTTAAGAGCATTCTTACATTGTAATTGTTCGTAGGACATTGAAAACTACGTTAGTTATAAATATCGGCTTTGAAAAAAGTAAATTTGATTAGTAAAATTCTGGGTTATAAAGAAAATTTATTACAAACTCTTCAAGTTTATTTTTGTTGGAAGTTTTTCAGTAAATATAATTTGAATAGATAATATGAAAAATTTTAATTATGTAATTAATGCATATTTTATTGAATGTCTTTTTCTTCATTGTTGCCAATACGTAATTTTATCATGAATGGTAAAATGCATCTAAATCGAAATCTGCATATTGCAAGAAACATAACGTGGAAGAAAAAGTGTATCCTGGAAAATTTTATGTATGATTTAGCATGCTAATAGTACAGTGGTAGAATATTCTAATACATTGAAAAGAATGCTACTTTAAAACTGAAGGTTACCACAAATCTAATCATTATTTCAAAGTAGCACTTGAAAGGTTGTGCATAAGTTGTATATGATGTCTAGGAAACTAGTATGATTTTGAGAAAAGTTACTGTTACGTTTTACTCTTTTGAGAAGTGTTAATAATAAAATTTAAGTAACATTTAAATAGTCTTAGTGTGTTTTGTTCTAAATAAATAATCCAGTCTAAGAAATTTGTAGAGTCTGTTTTAGTACAAGTAATCTAAACAGAGCAAATTCATTTTGTTGCCAAAAATAAGCAAAAATATCCCATGAGTGATGTGAGAAATACAACTGTTGTTACTGGTTTTTGAATTACTGAATGTTGAAGATAAATAAGAAGAGAATATGGAGGCTATTTCTTGTTCCATGCAGTAAAGGTAGATACAAAGATCTCTGTAAAGTCAGCTGTATATATCGGCCATTAGGATCCCATAATTAAAAATTGACATGTAAAGTTCTCTGCATATTAATTCAATATTGTTAGCGAGTCAGGTTTCAGATGTAACATATAAAATATGGAACAGATAACAAAGGCAGTACAAAAAGAGGTTAATCTTCGGATTATGGTAACTTGGTCGATTTTTTGGAAAAAATTTGGCAACCAACCCTGCTACAGCAACCTGCTAGTTTTTTTTTTTTTTTTGATGCCATTTTGTTTTTATGAAGTAAAGGCATGTTTTTTTTTTTTTTTTTTTTACTCAACATTTTTTTCCAACAATCTGCTAGCCGAATTACGCTTATGCTAGAACTTTTATGGAACAAAAGTGCTTAATCATGATGAAGATTAGATGCAAAATTGGGAGAAAGTGCAGAATCGCCCAGTGCTTGCCGTGTTTTTAAGAATTGCACATATACGGTATCATCCATGTACACGTCTACCTAATTTCACTTAAAAAAAATCCCAGAATTGCACAAAAATGGCATTGCGCACACTCTTGACTTTATCCATGTATACTGCTAAAGTCCTAGCTAGTAACCTTTATTGCCTTACCAAAATGTCGCCAAACTAACTATTACCATATTCCAAAGATTAGCCCAAAAAGATTACATGTGTTTGTAGATATTCTAGTAAGTGTGTGAATTCCACCAGCAGTAACAGATATAACACATCATTGTGATTAAGACTGTTGGATTTTTTATAAAATGTTAGGAATTTTGTTGAACTGTGGCACAGTATCTTCAGCACACTGTTAGAATTCTTCTCGTGAAGTATTTGAGTATACATTAATATCTGCTCTCAGTTGTTCATACACAAAATAATACAGTAGACTCGGATTTGGCCAGCCCTTTGATGAGGTAATTGTGTTTGGTCTATGGTGGTGGTAGTGATGTAGAAATGCCCAGACATCCTATGCTAAACTAAATGTTGACACATGCAGCAAGATTAATATCTTCCAGTAACAACAGTTGTATATATGTGTATACACCAGTGCTTAAATTGTGCCGAAGCCCTGCTCCGGTACTTCTCAATTTTTAATATGAATTTACTATTTGGAATTATCCGGTATTTCCAGAGCTTTCTGGATAATTAAGCTTTTACTGTCATAAAATTCTAGTGCAGAGTTTTTTATGTGGATTTAAACATTTTAGAATACTGTTACATAGCATCTTGTGAACTAGTGAAGTAATTGGTGAATAATCTCAAGTATAATCCAGAATATCACAAAGCATTTTTATACCTTCTTTGATGTTGAAAGATTCCCCCACCCTTTAAAAATTTAATGTTAGCACTAAATATGATGTCACTAAATAAGGTATACTTTGATATGTTTTCTTTACTTTTTCAGAATGTCTCGATTTAGTGATTGGAATTTGGATTGCAAAGTTTATATTGGTAGTCTCGGCAGCAGGGCTACCAAAGATGACATTGAAGAAGTATTTGGGAAATTTGGACCTCTTCGAAATGTTTGGATTGCTCGCAACCCACCAGGATTTGCTTTCGTTGAATTTGAAGATAGACGCGATGCTGAAGAAGCTGTGGCTGAACTTGATGGATCGTAAGTTTGCATTTATTTTTTTAACCGATTTTATTTAAAACTGAGAAAGTTATGTGCAAATATATATGTTAGATACACATCTTGTGTTGCACAGGACTAACAGTTCATATCAATAACAATAAACTTAAATGGGTATTTTTCTTAAATCTTCATTAGCTTAAGGAAACCTGCTGCGCTACTAATAAAAATGAAGAAATGCAGTATAGTTTTTATCAATCACATTCAATTGAGCTGAAATTTTTAGTAAGTTGTACTGAATGTGGAATCAATGTTAATGTATTTGAATAAATTGAATTTTGTGTAGTGAAATATTTTTCCGTTTCTTTTTAATTTTGGTTAATTAAATTTGATTATAGTAAAGACGAAAAAATGGGAAGCATAATATATTATTTCGAACTGTCTTGTGATGTTAACCTCTGACCCCCCCCAAAAAAAAGCAACAATGAAAAAGAGATAAGCTTTTATTAATTTTTAATTGCCAACATGCTTACTCATTGCTATTTACCCATTAAATATGCATGAGTTTATTTGAGAAAACAGTTGAACTGTATTATACAGTACCTATTCTTTTTTTAATATGATCATGTATTTTTTTTTTAAATACTACAAGTTCTTTGTACTGAATGATTACCATTGAAATCTTAATTTGATATTGAGCAAGATTTTCACTTATTTTTTTAAAGACTTGACTTTCCCTCCTTTTTAATAAATGAAAACAAGTAACATTTCATTTTATTTCAGATTTTTGTGGGTTTTAATATTATAGAGCTGAATAAAGAGTGGAACTTTCTTCATTGATTTTACTGAAGGGACAAACATACTTTTGATTAGCTTTGATAAAAAAATTTCTGAGATTGACAATTTTCTTGCCATGTTTAAAACCAAAATGAAATTTTTATATTAATGTATTGTTTAAACTTTTAATAGTAACAAACATTTAACCAATAATATAAATATACATAAAGAACGACATACCTAATATATGGCAGCACTATAGTGCTACAGCTCTGTTGCAAGGAAGAAATTATTTCATTTGTAGTGTTTGCTAACAGAGAAAATGATTTGAAAGAACAAGATTAAATTCCGTGTAAAAATTAATAAAACTGAAAAAGATACCTCTGATTTTTTAACCCAAGCTTTTGGAAATAAATCTGTGTCATGGTCAAAGATTTTTAATTTGCATAAACATTTTAAAGAGGGCTGAACTTCAACACAAAAGATGATACATACACAGGACAGTCATCAACATCTGTAACTGAAGCTAAATAAAAAGTCACTAATTTATCCATAAAAATCTAAGAATAACTTTGAGAGCAATGTTAAATAAAAGTAACCAGAAAGCTTGTATATAGAGAAATCAGCTTACCTGTGGAAAAAACAATAATGGATGCTTCATCATAATAATAAGCAACCACTTGACGCTAATACAGTTCAGCCAACATGAAATACATGTTCATAATTCAGAAGTCAAACAACAAAAATCAGCGTTATATTTACCAAATTTTCACAGGACTAGTTTCGATGGTTTTACCGAACCACCATCTTCAGCTGCAAAACCGCAAATGAACCAGATAGGAAATAATGATTAGATAAGATAAGAAAGCCTGGACAAGAATAAGCAAGTGGCGCCATCTGTTTTTTGTAAAACCAGAACTAAAACATAATTTCTTTAAAAGGCCGAAGGCAAAATTTGGATTGGAATTAGGATCGTTAACTAGAACAGAAAGATTTTTATGAATGTGAAATGCCTCTAGAAAATCCAGTTCTCCAATGGAAGATTTTTTGAATAATTTTGGCAGCAGAAAAACTGAAAGTGTGGTTTTTCAGACCAACAATTTTGAGCAACAGAAGACTTCTGTGTTTTCCTTTTTTCTAACATATGCCTCATGTTCCTTGACGCGAAATTTTAAGGCTCTCTTAGTTTGGCCAATGTAAATTAAACCACACTGGCAAGGAATCCTATAAATACCCCAGGAATTCATATCCGGAATGGGGTCCTTGAGTATGGAACTCGGAATTTTTATGATGGGAGAATAAACAACCCGAAAGTTAAATTTCTGCAAAATATGTGCAACTTTATAGCTAATTGATGGAAAGAAGGGAATGACAACAGAATTTTTATAATCTCCTAAAAAGAGTGTGCCTTTTAGTGTGTTTTGAGATGAGAATTTTTTAACTGCTTGATTAATAATGTTGGGTGGAAAGCCCCTGTCAATAGCTATTGCTTTTAAATAATTTAGTTCTTCATCAAGGGCTAGTTTGGAGGAGCAAACTTGAAGAGCACGGAAAACATAGGAATAAAATGAAGCTAACTTTTGCTTAGTCGGATGACATGATTTAAAGTGTGGTGGAAGGCAAACCGATGAAGGTTTACGGTAAACCGTAGTACTGAAGTTGGATGTGTTACGTGTGACCAGAATGTCGAGAAACGGAAGAGAATTGCAAGTCTCAAGTTCAAAAGTGAACTGAATAGCAGGATCAATAGAATTCATTGTTGAAAGAACTTTATTTAAATCATCTTTATTACCATCGAACAGAGTAAAAGTATCGTCTACGTAGCGGAACCATGCCGGGAAGTTTAAAGTTTCAAACAATTTTGATTCATAATAATGCATGTAGATATCAGCCAGGATGGGACTGAGGGGGCTTCCCATGGCTAATCCCTCAGTTTGCTTGTAATATTTATTTTGGAAAACAAAATGTGTTTGTTTCAAACAGAGTTGAGTGAGAGAAATTAGCTCATCAATTTCGATGCAAGAGAAATGAAATTCGCGAAGTCTGGTTTCTAGACATCTTAATGCAACCTCCACTGGGACATTGGTGAATAATGATTTTACATCAAAAGAAACCATGAGTAAATTACTAGGAGAAATGTTTTTAACTTTTTTTACAAACTCTATTGAATTTTTTATGGTGTAAATGTTATTGTCTAATAGAGTTGAAAATCTAGAAACTAAATATTTAGCTAATGGATACGAGGCAGTACCTAAATTTGATACAATAGGACGGAAAGGAAATCTTCCCAAAATTCATAAAAGTGGTATTCCTTTTCCGTCCTATTGTTAAATTTAGGTACTGCCTCGTATCCATTAGTAAATATTTAGTTTCTAGATTTCAACTCTATTAACATAACATTTACACCATAAAAAATTCAATGGTTTGTAAAAAAGAAAAACATTTCTCCTATAATTTACTCATGGTTTCTTTTGATGTAAATCATTATTCACAATGTCCCGTGGAGGTTGCATTAAGATGTCTAGAACCAGACTTCGCGATTTCATTCTCTTGCTCGAAATTGTGAGCTAATTTCTCTCACTCAACTCTGTTTGAACAAACCATTTTGTTTTCCAAATAAATATTACAAGCAACTGAGGGATTAGCCTGGAAGCCCCCTCAGTCCCATCTGGCTGATATCTACTGCATTATTATGATCAAAATTGTTTGAAACTTTAAACTTCCCGGCATGGTTCCGCTACGTAGACTACTTTTACCCTGTTTGAATGGTAATAAAGATGATTTAAATAACTTCTTTCAACATGAATTCTATTGATCCTGCTATTCAGTTCACTTTGAACTTGAGACTTGCAATTCTCTTCCGTTTCTCGACATTCTGGTCACAACGTACCCATCCAACTTCAGTACTACGTTACCGTAAACCTTCATCGGTTTGCCTTCCACCCACTTTAAATCATGTCATCCGACTAACAAAAGTTAGCTTCATTTTATTCCTAGGTTTTCCGTGCTCTTCAAGTTTGCTTCCTCCAAACTAGCCCTTGATGAAGAACTAATTATTTAAAAGCAATAGCATTGACAGGGGCTTTCCACCCACATTATTAATCAGCAGTTAAAAAATTCTCATCTCAACACACTAAAAGGCACACTCTTGTTTTAGGAGATTATAAAATTCTGTTGTCATTCCCTTCTTTCCATCAATTAGCTATAAAGTTGCACATATTTTCAGAATTAACTTTCGGTTGTTTATTCTCCCATCAATAAAATTCGAGTTCCATACTCAAGGACCCCATTCGGATTGAATTCCTGGGTTTTATAGATCCTTGCCAGTGTGGTTTAATTTACATTGGCCAACTAAGAGAGCCTTAAAATTTCGCGTCAAGAACATGAGGCATTTAGAAAAAAGGAAACACAGAGTCTTCTGTTGCTCACATTGTTGGTCGAAAACCACACTTTCATTTTTCTGCTGCCAAATTATCAAAAACTCTTCCATTTGGAGAACTGGATTTTCTAGAGGCATTTCACATTCATAAAATCTTTCTTTCTAGTTAACGATCCTAATTCCAATCCAATTTGCCTTCGCCTTAAAGAAATTATGTTTTTAGTTCTGGTTTCCCAACAGATGGCGCCACTTGCTTATTCTTGTCCAGGCTTTCTTCTTATCTTATCTAATCATTATTTCCTATCTGGTTCATTGCGGTTTTGGCAGCTGAGATGGTGGTTCGGTAAAACCGTCGAAAATAGTCCTGTGAAAATTTGATAAATATAACGCTGATTTTTGTTGTTTGACTTCTGAATTAGTATTTATTCGGCGTGTTATTGTGTCTTAATTACATGTTCATGTTCAATTTGGACTTTACAATATTACAGTGTTGTTAGGATTGTTGATGTAAATTAAGAATTGTCATGGATTTTGAAGCACTAATAAATTTTGTATAATGAAAATATAACGTGTGTATGACACCACACACCTTATAATATTCTACGGAAAATTAGCATTACCAGTTACTGTTATTAATAATGAAAGAAGCCTTAACAAATTTAATATTATAATATATTTATTATGTATTAATAATGTAAAATATTAAGATTTTACATATATGTGTTTTTGGCAATGTATGAAATCCATCATTCTGTAGAATACCTAGGTATTTTATAGAATATCAAAAACTGGCCAACAATGTATGAAAAGATTAAACATTTCACTTAGTACCTAAGTTTCCTATAGAATGCCAGATGACAAACTGATAAAGCATGAAATAAATTTTCGATTTGTTTCGAATTACCAAAAATACTTATCAGAAGTTAATAAATGATATAAAAAAAGCTAAAATGACTACTAAGAAGCAACCATAGGACTATTGGTTGCTGAATCGCTATGATTTGATGTTTGTGGATAACAAAAGCAATATCATTTTTCCTGTTAACCCTCTCGTCATTATGGACAGAATATTCCATATAGAAGGGTGGGTTTCATATTCATTACACATTAAAATTTCTGCTAGCTTTTCATGTATCCGATTTCATGTTGGATGCATATTAGAAGAAAAGATATCAAGGTACAAAGTGAGAAAGTTGTTTTTTAATTATAACTAAAATACCATTTATTGATGACATTTTGAGGAAATTTGAAATTTCAGATCTAAATCCATAATGCAAGGGTTAAAGAAGAAATCAGTATTATACAGTATTACATCATGAATATTGAGTTATTTCATGTTCTTCACGAAACTTATTTGGTTATTTAAACATGGAGGATGTGGCAGAATGTTGAAAGAAATTTTAAGGAAATACAAAAACATTACACGGAATGATATTGAAATGTACATACACCGTTATGAGCTCTGCCAGAAATAAATAAAAAGATAAGATTTTTAGCCCATGTTAGTCCTCGAATGCAGTATTTTAATATAGGTACTTTGGCACAAAATCTGACTTTTTCTGACATTACATGCCAATGTTTTTCCATATTTAGATTCTATGACTCAAATTATGCCAAACTGCCAAGTTTTGTGAAAATCGCACAAATAGTTTTTTAGAAATTTGCTCTGAAAATTTTAACTGCTCAATGTTAATTGAGAGTTTGGTATATCTCTCTTTTTTTTTAATATCTCTTTTTTTTTTTAATTAAACTTATTTTCTTCCTTTCACATTACCAAATAAAATTCGCCCATTTTTTATGATTTGCTTTTAAAATTTTTATTTTTAAGTAATTTTTATAAATCTTTCATAAAAAATTTTGAATTATAACGTATCAAATTTTTACCATTATATTAAAGTAGATGTATTTCTAAGCACACCTGTAAAAAAATTAGAGTATTTTATGCAAAATTTCTGAAGCTGTACGTGAATTTATGTATTGGAGCATTTTGAAATTTGTCATATTTGTTGAACGCGATAGTAACATCAAATGCAGTTTAAGCACTTTGTTAAAAGTATTTGAAAGTAGGAACAATGTGACTTATTTCCCATTCATACACAATGTGAAAAGGTAGGAATGATGTGACTTTTTCCACTCCTGCACAACGGAAAATATATTAAGAAGATTATAAGAAATGGCTATATATTAAGAAGTTCGGCAAGTAAATTATTCTTGGCGCAAACTGAAAAAAATGCTTTAAGTTAAATTTTTGAATTTCTCTATAAATTTAGCACCAGATTTTACCAAATTTAATATTTAGGCATAATTTGAATTGTAGAATCAAAATATGGGAAAAAATTGGTATGTTATTTTGGAAAAAGTCCCATTTTGTCTCAAAATACCTATGTTAGAACAATGCTATATATAAATCTAATATATATCCTAAGTCGTGCTTTCGAGACATGAAAAACACAATTTAAATTTCGTCCGCCAATCAGTCCACTAGAACAGGAGATATAGAACTGTAACCCCCCTTTTTTTTCATGCAGTGTACATATGTCTCGTCTCCTGGACATAAATACACAGGAAACAGAGGACATTTTGTACTGTACAGAGGAATACTTATTTACCTCTGTGGCTGAGATGAAGAAATATGTAGAGGTGGCTGTGGCAGAAGGATTATATTTGGAAACCGAAAAGGGACTGAAGATTACGTAACTGTATTTTCATTAAAATAAAAATTTAGTCTCAGAATTTTATGATCACATATCATATGTTATCCATTTACTAGGATGGGCCGCTACAAATATTTTTTTCTTGGAAAGTGGAAAAGAAGTCTGACATTCAGATCTTAAAAGTTTAAATGCCAAGTTATAACTTTTAAATTTACTTTATTATTTGTATTTATGTACCTTCTGTTTTAATCTAATCTCATTCATAGAGTAATTCTGAAGGTAATTTTCAGTGTGAATCTGATTTTTATATATATTTTTTGTTTCAAATATTTTTATTTGAAGACGCCTGTGTGGATCGCGAATACGAGTGGAAATGTCCCATGGGAAGACTCGTAGTGATAGAAGACGAGAAGATAGAAGGAAACCATCTCCACCATATCGGTTGGTTGATAATTACCACTATATATATTTCTTTAGAATTAATTATTTCAGAAGTTATTTAATTTAGGCAGTTTTTTTTTTTGAACTTTCAAGTTTAACAAGTTTTCAGTTTTCTTTCAATTTATGGTTTTTAATTCAAGATTTTTAATACAAAATCAATTATTTATAAAATAACTAAAAATTAATTTTGGATTTGATATAAATACCAGAACCAATTTTTAGCCTTTTGGTATTTAATTCAAAATATATATCCTTTTAGGATTTAATTATAGAATCACAGTATTTATTTGTTAATTCTGTGTTATACAGGAAAACCTTGGAGTGATATGTATTATGAGTTCTGTAAAGCAAGATATGTTATAAATTAAGATAAATTTGTTTTATTAAGATTAAGGAGGTGGTGTAAGGCCCTAGTTATACAATTAATAATAGATATGCAATTTAAGCCTCAGAACCTTTACAAAATTTTCACATTGGTGTGTAACTTGATAGGCATTAATTATATGAAATTTCACTTATGTTGTGTTATGTGTGACATATTATTTTTTGGTAGGTTACTATATTTTTTAATTTATGCTATAGTTTTAATGGTTTGAGTAATTATATTTGACAGATTGGCAGCCATAAGTAGGCTGAATAAAATTATACTTTTCTGCCAGTAATATTCTTATTATATAGGGAAAGATGATATCTTGTCAAAATATATAATTTCATATTGAATAATTACCTGGTAAACTGAGTTTAAATGAAGTTAAAAATAAACTATTCTAGGTTGACATGTTGAAATCGAATTTAAATATGATTAAAAGTAGCATTTGCAGATGACCTATTTGCCTCATTACTTGGAGCTAGAATAAATGGTTTAATCAAGTATCTTGGTTGTTTTTTTTTCTTTCTACAGGGTCGCTATACTTAAAAAAGCAATGTATAGAAGGTTGAAGGGAAAGTCTCTTGCAATACAATTTGGTAGGAATTTTGAGTGCTTCTCTAATTCTAGGCTGCTTTTATGCCCGCATTTGCCATGTTTTGGCCTTGTCCCTTTCAGTTATTGATTGAATATTTAGAGAAGTATTATTTAACCATAGACATGCTATTTTCATTGATAAACTGGTTGGCAGGGAGATTTTTTAGATATCTTTTTTATACTCTGCAATTCTTTTTTATTGTTTTCTAAATGTTGAATTGATGCATCGAGTTTCTGTGTTTGTGTCATTGGTGCAGATCAAGGTAATGTATACATCTGAAGTATGTGTTGTGATGACATACAGTTAATCTGACTTTGATAATTTCCAGCAACATGTGAAAAAGGATATGGGATATTCTGATATAAGGATAATAGGATATGGGATGATATAAGGATATGGGATATGGGACATGGGATATTCTGAGTTTTCTCAAAATCCGCTTTTTGGAAGGAAAACATTAATAACATTTGTGTGCTATAGAAAACATTCAGAACTTAAAACTTTGTTTTCATTCATTTTGGAAATCTTTTTCTGACCTGCAATTTAAAATTAGTATAGAAGTCAACAATAGCCTTCAGTTTCTTGATGTCTTAGTTTTAAGAAATGGCGATAGTCTTCAGACTGTAATCTGTCAGAAACTAATTGGCCCCAGCAAAAATCTGTTTGACTTTTGTTTAATTTGCATAAAATACCTGCTTTTTATTTATATATTTTTTAGAATATTTAAGTAGTATTTCTTAGAATATTTAAGTAGTATATATGTGCCAGATTTGTGTTTTACACCAGAACTTTATGAAAATGAATATATATTACAAATTGCAGAAAACAGTAGATATCCTCCCAGTTTAAGGAAAATCTTACTAATAAAAATTAATAGATAAACTTCTGCAGTCATTTCTTATTTAATAATTTCTTATTTAATTTATTAAGTAAACTTGGCTTTACTAATTGTAGACCTTATGCATTAGTTCTCCGTTTTAAAAGGTTTGGATATAAACTTACCATCACGCCAACCCATTCTGTCTGAAACTTTATAAGGTCAGTAAATCGGGCATTACCACAACAGATACGTCAGTTATATATACTATCTTGATGTGTAATGAAGATACAAACACAGAAACTTAATAATATTGATTCAACACCTAGAAAACTACCAGTAAGAATTATCGAGCACAAAAGATATATCTATAAACTTTCTGTTAATCATTTCATCAATCAAAATAGCAAATCTCTGGTTAAGTACTTCTCTGAGCATCCATACTGAATAAATGAATGGAACAAGGCCAAATATCACTGAAATCCACCATAAAAGCAGCTTCAAAATTAGAGAAGCATTTGAAATCACCACCAAACTATGTTGCAATTGAGACTTTCTCTTCGACCTTCCATACATCTGGAAGTCAATACGGCTAATCAAACCATACATTACTGCTTCAGCTTATGTAGCACAAAGGTCATCTATGAAAACTCCTACTTTTGTGTATGTGGTTTCTGCATTTCAACCATTTTTTCCAGCATAATTGGATTATTCATTTTTTTTTCTTGTGTTAATATGCTGTTTAAAAATCGTATAGAATTACATATATTTTAGTGTAGTTTGACTCAGGATTATAAAACTGATGAATAAACTATGAGTCCATTAGTTTATAAAACAAAAGCATTTAATAAAATCAATAAACAAAGTTATTTATTGGATTTAAGAATGTAGTTTTTGAATGAAATTTAGTACTAATTTTTTTAGGTAACAGGTGAAGAAAACATAAGAATTAGATATTTAAAAATAGTTTAAATTCAGTCTTAGTTATTGCTAGTTCTCACTTTAAAATTATGCTACGTTATGCAATTGTTGTCTATTACACTCAGGATGCAGCTATCGACCAGGAGCCTGGTTCTAGCGACTTTTGCACCTGTCTTGAGTCTTGGTTTGGTTGATTGCAAATGAAAATGCCGAGTTCATTTTGAGAAATAAAGTATATTGAGCCTTTTAATTTAGCCACTTTAAAATGGCTTAATAGGAATTGAAATTCAAATTTCATTTACTCAATAAAATTTGTTTGTTGAAATATGGTGAAATTACTTCCGGTACTCTTCTGTTATTAGGACTGAATTCTGAAATGTGTGTACATATGCATGCATGTATGTATGTATGTATGTGTTAATGTATGTATGTATATATGCACAAACACATGTATATGTGTGTATATACATGCACATACATACACATGTGCATGCATACATATATTTCTGAATCTGGTCCTGATAACATAATAGTACCTCACTTCCAGATTATATTTTCTGTAACTATTATGAATATTTTTGATACTATTATATAATGATTTATATCTTAAACCTTATAAATGCATTTTAAACATCAAGCTATGACTAAAACTCAATTAACTTAATTTTCAGAATCAATTTGAATCTGTATGTAAAAAGATAGTTTTTTTATTTAATTGATCATCTGTCCCATCTGTAGTTGAATAATTAGTACAGATGGGATGCTGAAATTATCTTTTATTTATATTATATTTCTAATTTGTGTCTAGACTTGTAAACTTTACATTGTCTGCAAAAGGGGCAAGATATATTTTAAAGCATTACAACTTGCTTTCTGTATAGTGTCATATTTTGTGTAATAACAATTTTTGAAATCTGCAAGACAAAGTCTAGTTTTTATTGTCCTCCAAATTACCATCTGTAGATGACAAATTTTTACTAAAGTCTTTTCAGGGTGTGTGTGAGGTAGTTTGGAGTTATTTTATACTTTTAATGCTTTTTCATATTTTTATGCATAATATTATACTCTTGCAATTGTTAAACTATCAAAACAAATTTCAGGCAAATTTTGGCAAAGAGGAGCTTTTTTTCATTAACATTGGGAATATTGATTACAGATACAAGTAATCTATGAAATTGTTGCTTTTACAACAGTGAATAGAATACATTTTTTATGTATACTCAAATTATTAATGATTTTGAAGTAAGGGTCATTTGATGAAGTAAGGTAAGAAAGGAGGTTAAACATAACATCCCAGAAAATTGATTTCATTTCTCAGCGCAGTTTCCATTTAGGGCTTACTCACTTGTTCTAGCAAGTTTACATTTTTTTTCTCAAATAAGTAGCATTAATCATATACTGCAAAAAACACATTGGCAGTACAAGGATTTCGTAGTATTTCTTTTTATGTCTTATCTTCCTATTGAGCCAAATTTTCAAGTCTGAGGGGTAAGAGAAGGGAACCAATTTCAAGTTTTAATCAGAGAGTTTTATTGCTGTTGTAAAAGTAATATGGTTGATTTATACAATGCTAAAGTTAGTAAAAAAAAATTTTTTTTTACGGGTTTTTGTTTCATCACTTCTTTTAAATGGTCTAATATTTTTTCTCAGCAGGCTTCTATCGATCCTTTTTAAGTTATTGTCTCAGGGTTCATACAGTCCTTAAGAGTCCTTAGATTTTTTGGAATTGATTTTTGGTACTTAAGAGTCCTTAATTTTGGCCAGAATCAGCAGAAGGTCCTTAATTTTAATCATCTGAAATTTCTGTCTGTTTTTACGACTGCCATTTTGAGTGTGAATTAGCATATGGAGGCATATTTTTGACGATTCACTGACATATATGGTTATCTTTTGAATGGGTTCATGAGTTATAATATGTTTCTATGTCTAAAATAAATTATGGGATACTTTAGTTTCTAAGAAAGAATTGAAACATAAGCATTTCAAAATTCATTTTTTCTAATAAAGAGCTCTTAAACAACTTTTCACTTTTGGGAATGTGAATTTTTTTATTAAACGGTTCTGAATTTGGCAACTTATCAACATTTTGGCGATTTTAAGATCAGTTTCTATAGAAAATTTTTAATTCTGAGATCTGAGAATTTTCGGACTTTTTTTAAAAAACATCGTAACATTGATAAATTTTGTTAAAATAATGGTAATATACTGAAATTATATTTAAAACATAATTTTCGCTGTCATATTATAAAGTTTCATTTTGGCAACTTATTATACAATATTTTAAATCTGAAAAAATA